AACCAGTCCTCCAAACTACAAGTAAGTACAGATCTTCACAGCAAACACCAGGACGATGATGACATTAATGTTTTTCTCGGGGGTGTCATTTTTATCTTATTCATCATTTTTTACTTTAGATAAAAAGGAGCCCCAGATCATCATTAACGTCTAGCTGTGCTGTTAGTATATCAGCGGCGTGTTCCTTCTGGGCGCTCAAATTCACTTGTCTAATTTACAGTAAAAAAGCAATAAAGAACTCATCCATCGGTTCGCAAATGCATCAACCTACTTTTTGAAATACTTGTGGGTTGCTTTGGCAAAACCAAAAAATTAGAAGTGTTCCCATTTTTTTTTTCTCGGATATGTGAATATGTGCGTATTTACACGCGTGAATAGTGAGTGAATGAGGTCAAAATGTAAAAACAAAAACATGCTGTAGTACATGAGTATGACCTTCATCCGTTGTTCTTCCTAAATGCGCATCGCATGGATAAACGTATTAGAGATGTGACTTCAGGCATAAAACTTGCCCACCTTTCAATCATGCTTTATTATTTTATGCAATAATTCCTCGCATGACGGTCGTGGATCGGTCTTACTAATTGGATGATTGAAATGATTAATTTCTCTTCACCGACCGCAAACTCTTGGCATGTAAGTCCATACAACTTCGCATATGCGCACATCAAAATAAACAAATCACGACACCATGAAACCTCACTGTACACTGGAAACTTTTTTGTTATTGTGTTATGATATAATTATTTATCATTAATTATTATTATTAATATCAACGTTTGTTGCGTTGCAATCGAAAAAAAACATCGCCACCACATACATTGTTTTCGAATTCACGGCCTGATTTGTATATAATTAAAAATTCGTGCATTTCGTGGGACCGATGATCATGCGATCTCCTCGCGGACAAACATTGATAAATAATAATATAATAAGAGTAATAATAAAAAAGGATGAGCCGTCTGTGTTCGAGCAAGGATGCAGCAAAAGTACATGCGCATATATCATGCTTGAATGCGCGTGACTTTGGTGCTCACATCGTACTGATGATGAGATGTTTAAAGAACATGAAAACTATTTGTGGAATTGTTTGTCGTTTAATTAATTTTTCTTGCATTAATAATACTTTCTCGATATTTTTGCTTCTTTTCTTTTTTTTCATATCTCGCGGTGATACGATAATTCTAGAAAGCCTGCCCTCCGTGTGTGTAAGGATTTCTGAGATTGTGGACCTTATCATCGTCATGTGATTGTGAGAATGAGAAGACGCTAATCAAAATTGCCATTGTCATCGAGACAAAAACTGTTCGCTCTCAAGGTCAGCGATCGGGTGGAAATCATCGTGACACTTGAGTCTTGCGTTTTCTTCACACCACCACGACCTACATTATGTGAATGGATAAATATCGTACATAGACGAATAAATGGACAGATAGATAGATAAGTCGTATACATGGAATAATGTCGGCGATAAGAAGGTTCCCTCTTCCCAAACCAAGACGGTTGGGGATATATCATGGACGACCAATGTTACACGACATTTCATATCTGATTGAATGCGTTGCGAAGGGAAGGGCAGATGGATGATCGATGATCATGCGCATTGCTCTCCACATGAGGCTCTTTTTGTGTTGCCTACCACCGTCCGAGATACCTAAAGTTTCGTTTCGCAATTTTAATTTTAACATAGGTATCGTGTTCGGCTCAATCATAAAATTCGAAAATTTCCAAACACTTTGGATTATTTCTGACTAACCATTCTCTGGCAATGAATGAAAAAATACCAAAGTATGGCAAATCAATAATGGTGGACAAACCCCGGGCACATTGACGGTAAAAATGAGATCGTACTAAAGTACGAATGGAATATTGTTGGTCGACGGTTTTGGTTTTTCTGAAGATTGCAATTAACCTCTTTGTGCATTAATAACATCTCAGCCATTCAAGGTGACCAAGCTTTGCATGTACAGTATATCTTTATCTTACGTGAATCTTGAATATTCTACAATGGAAAGTTTAATAGTAAACAGATGTCCAAAAACTAATTTGGAAATTAATATAAAGTAAACAAAGATTACAAATCTAGATCAAGGAGACTTGGGTCATTTATTTATCGGCCCATTAGGGCATCCTATTTATAACAATCTATTGGGGAGACATTTCTGTTTAAGAATTACCAAGGAAACTTTGAATATGCCATTTTACAAAATTAGATGGCTAAATTGAAAATCCGTTAGATTTGGCGACCACCTCTAGCCTTCAATTAGGTTCATTCCAGACTTGGCTAGATTGTAATTCGAATTCTCATTTATTTATGTTTACCTACTGCATTTACAGTACCATGCTATATATACGATGTATACAACATATATACAGTATTTACTATTTGACAATGTTTATCTTTGCTAATGATGTTGTGCGGTTCACATGACTCTCGTTGTTTACTTCCAAAATTGTGTACATCCGTAAATGAATCCTATCATCACACGCTGGAAATCACCTTATGTAATCGATGATTATCACCGTTCTGTCACGTACAAAGGTAGCAAACAAAGTGTGCCAATAACTCCATTTTTGAATGTTCCATCTCAGATGTACACCTTTTGCGCCGATAACGCTATTGAGCAATTGGTGCGATTCGGTGTGAAACCTTTCATTAAAAAAAATGTGCAGACAAACACGCATTGCGCCTTAATACCTTCTCTCTCTCATTAATCACATTTGTAGGTTTTAGGGTGAAAAATAATTTTTCTTTTTTTTTAAAAAAAAAAAATAAATAAAAATAAATAAATGAAAATGATTCCACCTATCAAGAGACGACGAGCACATAAGAATAAGAATAGATCACGGTCCCGGCGATGGGATGTTTTCTCGCAATTACTACAAAATCGTGTCGACTGCTCGCTATTATTCCAGCCTCAGTAATCAATCGTATTATCGAAAATCTCTTAAGAAACTGAACTTCCCGCCTACCGTGCAGTGTACCTTAAGGATTATAGAGATCGACGTCTTGTGTGATTTAGTAAATGCATGTGCGAATAGTTATTTAGATAAAAAAACAAGAAACTCGATTAATAAAGTAATCAGGATCATCGATGCCTCAATGAAAGTGTTTTTTGTATACAATCCGAATAAGATAAATAAGTGGTTACTGTTTTTTAATTAAATGTTTTAATGACCCTTATTTGATACTTTTTAATTGTTCGCTACGCTTATCAGGTACGCCGCACGAGATCTTTGATCGTGTCTTTGGAACTCGCATCGCAGCTCAAAATATGAATGGAACAGTTAAAACACATCACCAACGTCGGTCACAACCTTTTTCCTACTAGAAGAAAATAGACATGCGTATTAATTAAATTCAGCATAAGATCGACAGATCATCGTAAACTCAATGTCGTACTCGGGATGTAAAAATGGCATGATTTTTTATGTATGACTCGCATAATCTTTGAGGTCCTTTTGTTGCTTTTGCTACCATGTGTCGCAAATTAACCTCATTACCCAAAGCCTTTCTCCTATGCGAATTTCCTAAGCACCTAACATTATCTATTAGTCAAATAATTCATTAGACGATTTTTGTTCGACATTATTTGCGTCTCCGGAATCGTCAAAACGTGCCAATTTATTGTTTGTGATCGTCCTCTTTGAAATTACGCGTGGTTTTTGTGATGATGTGTACAAGGGAGCGTTGCGTCCGGTTAGGGCCGAAGAAAACATGGCGTCGATCATTAGTCGTTATCTTCTTTTGACGCTTCCATCATCTCTCATTTCTCGAAGTTGGTGCTAAACACTATTTCCGTAATCTGCACCGGAGGCCAATAATGCATTGTAAATCTCATGCAAGTATTCGAGGATTGACGTACAAGAAAAACATCAGAGTCGTTTGGGGTGGTCTTGGTTATTTCTCCTTTTTTTCGACGAAATATTTGTTTCACTTGAAAGGCACGCACGGACAAGTTGACGGGAACAACCCCTGAAAAAAAAAAAATTTCAAATATTTTGTTTTCAAAGGTTATGAAGTGCATAAATTAAAGATTGTTGTGAAATGGTAATTAAACAAGCACCAAGGAAATCAATTCACCCTCTATCTGGTTGATCTGGTTGATCTGGTTGACATCGTATGTGTAATCGCATACATACGTGAAAAATAATAAAATAAAATAAAATAATAATAAAAAACGATAACTCGTGGCCCGCACACAGCGTGAGCACAAGATTTATGGTGACATCTGAATTTATGGTACGAATTGGTCACACGAATGTTTATTCCAACATAGATATCAACAATAGGTTTGCTGTTGATCTCTCTCGCGTGGTCGGTCACTTTATGAAATATGCTCGTTGTCAGAGAAAGCATTTCACACGTTCTATCATGCATATACCACATTACACATGTAGACCGGGAGGAAGTCAACGAACGGCGATCTTCTTGAATCACGGTAGGTCGGCTCCGCATATTCTTCTTTATTTATTCTCTTGACGTTTTCTTCAAAGAGTTTGTGATGTTACGAACTCACTCAATCACCGACCTCGCTGATCGGTGGTGTCATTCCACTTGACGCTTTCGAAAAACGACGAGTACTACGTGATGTCGATGGTGCCAACGGTTTTCTCACCCTTGTGGTGATCACATAATATATGTTCAAAATTCAGTATGCGGTGATTGCCGTGTTCCTTCCCCGAGAGAGGCCCTTTTCTCACGCCTCACATCTCAATCCTTTATATCTCAACAAACATCCCTCGATCATCATTATCTAAATTCAATGTCCCATCATCATCCATCTGCCAACAGTTTCGTTAGGTGCTAAGCACCTAACTGCCACATTCACTGCCACCCAAACGCAATCTCACCAAATTATTATTAATATAAATATTTACATCAAATACGCACGTAATCGACCATTAGATGCGTTCAGTTGATATAATAAATTAATTAATCGAGACTTGAGAAAAAAAATAGAATAAGATAAAATAAATCGAATAAATTGCAAAAAAAAAAAAAAAAAAAAAAAAAAAAGTGGCACAAATGATTTCCTTTGCATGTACAGCCAAAACTCAATCTAAAATATCTAAAAAATCAATTATTTGATCTCACAGAATCGCTTGTTGATCCATGATTGGTCTCACATTCACTTTTAACAATATCACACACATACAGTACAACTCCCACTTTATGATAAAATTGCTTTCCTTATTATAGTTTATCAGTAATCTATTTTTTTATATTAAGGTTGCAGATTTCAATGATCATTTAGTGTATCAACATTATATCAATAATAAACATCTTGTTTAAGAAAGGTGAATATAATACGAAATTGTACACACCACCACCACGCACTCACGAATATATACTGTATTTATGTATGTGTATGTGTATACATTTATATACTATATATATATATATATAGGTATGCGTATATATACAGCTCGACATCAAAAATATTATTCGAACAAAAACAACCTTCTCACTCGAGTATCCATTTGGATCACAAGGCTTCTTTTGCTTGAGCATAACCGATTTATTTTAACGCGAATCACGAAATATCTCTCTCTCACAATAAGTCGGCTGCGACGAATGTGTGTATCAATTAACCTTTCTGTTTGATCTGTGATAAATAAAAATAAAAGTTAGATTTCTTGCACACAAATCCAGTGACACCACAGTCATTTACGTACACACTATTTCCGGACACATAATTGCTTCATTCTGTATTTTAATCTCCGATTTAAAACAATAGTAACCTATAAATACGCCTTTTGTTCCTTTCACAAAAGCTCCATCCCTCGACAAAAAGCACTTGTCCTTTTTCTTTTCATACGCAATTTCTTCTCGACAGGAAATTTCGTTTTCTTGGAGTAGAACTTGAGGAGACTTTTACAGTTCTTTCTCATGTTATGCGCTACAAAATTTGTGGAATCTTATTTCTTTGATTTTTGGCATTCCACGTCGAGCTTCCTCTTTATAAATACAATCGCCCTCATTCACCTTGACAACGGCGGTTCGCTTAGATTAATTACATAAAAACAATTTGATACTAGAGTTTTTTTTTTTCTCCCTTTTTGTAACTGTTCTCGAAGAACTCCCAAATTTAATAGAATGGTATGTGCTCTTTGAAACTTGATACTTTTTGTACGATGATCGACAGGAAATTAATTTCAACGCATCTTCCAGGTACACAAAATGGATATTCCTTCCATGTGTTTACCTCCCCTTGAAAGGTTTTCCCTGAATCCACCTAATGTCGGTTTGCCGTCACCGCCGTGAGTTCTTTGATTTGTGACAAGCGTACATGATGTCTTTTTTTTGTCCTAAAAAATGCATTCCGCTTTTAAAATGCCAGGATTTCGGATAACAATAAGAAAGGGCAATGTCTTCCTCCTTTGACTTCAATCCTGCAGTCGCCGGGTGCACACCCCTCCATACTCATCTCTAAGATGACGTCCCTCGACTTTAACCCGGACAATAATAATCATACACCTGTGACTCCACAAGATCAACAATACCCGAGTTATCGTGAGCAATCAATCGTACCTGGTAATCCCAATGACTCCAAGTTGACCTACCAAGAACCAACCAAGGACCTTACCATTGAAAGTGGGACACGAACACCTTCTCTGCTGACCCAACCGATATCCAAAGGACCCGGTTTAAACTCTTTTGGGAATCTGTCTCCTCAACAACAATCGCCACCGTCCTCTTCTTTGATATGGTCGGGGCCGGGTTCATCGTTCCTTCCGGTGGATCAAGCATCGCAAAACCAACTGCAGCAACATTCCAAACATTCGCCGCAACCTTCCACGCAGCAGAAACCTCCGATTTATCATTACGATAGTCACTGCCCGCTACCAAAGCCACCATCTCAGGCAATGAGATTCGTGAATTATCCACAATACGGCGACAATACTTTTACAACCAATGAGCAGGCACTGTCGCGGCTATCAAAAGTATTTATTCATCTGTTCAACGAAGCGGATTATGTGAGTGCGCTTGATCACAACCATTCCTCACACTCTCTTTTTTATCGAACATAGGTCGCCGATTATTGTAATCAGATCGCCCAATTTACGACCCAATACAGGGATTCGCGTATAAACCCCAGTTCGTGGGACAATGCACCCCAGGT